AAAAAAAAAAAAAAAAAAAAAAAAAAAAAAAAACACAAAGTTGGCACCGCAAAACGCAGCCCACGCAGCGTACTGGCTCGGAATACCACAATCTATCTATCTCTTATCTGCTCGGGCCTCACCCAATCCCCTGCTTCCTGATCCCATACGTCATCTACGCGTGAGATCCGATGTTTTATCTATCGTCTCCAGGGGGAGTCGGTGCTGCAGAATATCTGACTCCTGGTATCTGTAACCCACGTGTTCCCGAACAAATGTGGGGGACCACCACCTCCACCTCCACCTCCACCTCTGACTCCTGGTATCTGTAACCCACGTGTTCCTGAACAAATTGTGGGAACCACCACCTCCACCTCCACCTCCACCTCCACGTCCACCTCCACCTCCTTTCGAGTTCGCTACCGTTGAAGGGGCCGGAAGGGGAGGGTTCGTTTTTGCAAAGACTAAGTATAAGAAGACACTTCGCAGTCTGGAAAACGTGATATGTAGGAGCGAAGAGGAGAGAGAGGAGACGAGGAGGGCGAAGACGATGCTGCGGCTGAGCATAGCCGCCAGCATGCATAAATAGGAAGAGTACGTCGAGTGCATAGCCGTGTGCAACCCGGTGCTGGAGGAGAACCCGGCCAATGTGAAAGCATATTACAGAAGAGGGTTTGGCATACATCAGCACGGGGGATTTGGACGAAGCACGGGCTGATTTAAAAAAGACGATGGAAAGTGACCCGTCATCTGGACCAGGTGCGAAGGCGGGGAGCAGTTCAATCGCTCGTCGGTCGAAAACTGTCGATAATCCGACGGCGGTGGGAGGAGGGCTTCGTTACGGAGGAGGAGGGGAAGGGGTGAAGAGTGGGGCGGTGATAACCGTGGGCCGGAAAAGTTCAGGTCGGAATGGAGGTGATGGGAAGGAGGACAACGACTGGGAAGAACGTGGAGAATTTCTGGAGGAGGGCACGGACCTGACGTGGAGGGCTGATGGGAAGGAGAAGGACGAATGGGGAGAATATTCAAAATGGGGGAAGGACGGCGAGGACGAGCACAGGAAGGTCAGGAAGGCAAAGGGCGAAGGGGAATGCAGCATCATCAGGGGAACGAAGCATCATCAGGAGTCAGCGGCCGGGGTGGCGGGGGGTGGGCTGGTTGGAGCCGTCACATCGGCTGATCGGCTGTGAAATGGGCGTCGACTAGATTCGTTGGATCATGATGAGAATGGACCGAAATTTAAACAAAAAGAAAAAAAAGAGGAAAGTTCGTGGAAATAAGAAGAGTTCTCGAAAAACGAAAGAAAAAAAACCGGAGAATGTATCGACACGAGCGTTCTCCTCCATTGATTGATTGATCGATTTCTCCTTCGTTGATTGATTGATTGATTTCTCCTCCGTTGATTGATTGATGGATTTTTCCTCCGTTGATCGATTTCTCCTTCGTTGATCTATTGATTGATTTCTCCTCCGCTGATTTATTGCTTGTTTGATTGATTGATTGATTATATGGATCGTTGATGGGACGTAATTAAAAATGTTAGACGACGACCATGTAGAAGAGGAGGCCGAAGAATAGGAAGAAGAAGACGAAGAGGGCGAGGCAAGAAAAGGTTGTCTATGAGCATTATTTGCTGCAATGTGGAGGATGATGACTAGGAGGAGGAAGAGGAGGAAGTGGAGGGAGAGGAGGAAGAGGGATAGGAGGACTCAAGGTTATTTAAAGAGGAGGAGAAAGAAGGAGAGGAAGGTGGATGAAGAGGAAGACGGGAGAGGAGGAGTGAAGGAGAACATGGTTGCTCTTGTCCTTAGATTCTCATGTTAGTCTATCAAATTTGTTTTGTAAAATGATAAAATCTATGTCTCATTTGTTCTTGAACCAATAAATTAGTGGTTGATTGCCATTGCCGTTAACGCCCTGCGACTTCGGGAGGCTCGGGGTACCGTCCCTGAAAGGCTGGCGCTGTTAACCAAAACAAGTGTTTTTCTGTTGCGCTGGCGGGTCGGCGCGAAATGGCGCGCAGCCCGTTTTCAGGCTCGGCATCTATAGCTGGGCCAAGTACTGGTGGTTTAAGGCACCCTTCTCGTAAAAATTCGCGAAAGGGCCACAGTATGTGGAGTCCCATTTTTGAATGACGGAGAGAAAGGGGCTGTTATGTGGTATGTGGAATCCCATTTTTTATTACAAAGAAACCTCGGCACTTGAACCACCAGCACATGGCCGAGCCGAGTTCAGAAGTCAAATGAGCCTCTCCTAAAAGTTCGGAGACTCGCCCCATGGCGGGCCTGCGGGCGGGTGGGAATTTTTTGTTGTCCCACGCCGCAGGATGGGCACTGGCACTGCGCGGGACAGAAAAAGATTTCCACCCGTCCTCCGGCCCCAAAAAACTTCTAGCCCAAGTTGAGAAGTCAAATGAGCCTATCCTAAAAGTTAGGGGACTCACCCCACGCCGGGTCTGTGGGCGTTTTTTTGTCCCACGCTGCGGGATGGGCACTGGTGTCGCACGGGACAGAAAAAAAATTCCTGTCCGCCCTCAGGCCCCAAAAAAATTATTGCCCGCCCTCAGGCCCGCCGTGGCCCAAGTCCCCTGACTTTTAGAAGAGGCTCATTTGATTTCTACAGGAAGATTCGCTCTCGTTTTGCACATTTCGAGAGTAGTTCGCAGCCAGGATGGCTGCGTATAGACCGATGTCTTTTGTCGTTTAGTGGGCGGTTTCCATTTGGGGAATGTCGTGTTCCGGGTAAGTGGGTTTAGAGGGCGTCGTTGCGCGAGAAATAGGGCTGCGGTCTCCAACTGGAGACCGACCGGTAGTCTTGTGAGGGAGCGTGGTGGCGGTCGCGGGAGAACTGTGGCGCGCGTCCGGTGCTTTCCATATATAGGTGTCTTTCGGTTATCCGACCGTTCGTCTGCTTTCCATATATAGGTGTCTTTCCGTTATCCGACCGTTCGTCTCCATTGAGATGGATGGTACGGTATTAGTTCGGTCAGTCTACGTTTTTTGCAGGTTTTTTTTTTCCCCAACCGTCTGCACTTCTCCACAAACATGGTCCGGTTCGCGAATCTTTACAAATCCTCACCTCGCCCTGGCAGGCCCGTGCTGCCAGCTTTTCAGTTCCCCCCCCCCCACTGTCTGCACTTCTCCACAAGCATGCCCGGATTCGCGCGTCGAATCCTCACTTCGTCCGCTGCAGATGCGCTGGTGCTACTCTCATCCCCCGAGCACAACGCACCCTCATCATGACTGTACCCGACCGGTAATATTGCCTGTATGACTGTATCGGACCAGTAACATTGCCTGTATGACTGTACGGGACCGGTAACATTGCCTGTATGACTGTACCGGACCGGTAACATTGCCTGTATGCGCTCTTTTTTTT